TCAAACCCCTGTTTGAGTAATCAGTATCTGGTTTCTGCTGTCTATTTGGAAAATTAATTTTTTATAAAACCAAATGACCTTTTGAAAATATATATATCAAAACATTTGAGGCCTATTTTTAATAATTTCTAAGTTGCATATAACTTTGAGTCTATATTTATTCTTACCTTGGATTGACAGTGTTCCATAAATATTTCTGAACCCATATGATAGATGAAGAGTTTAAGATGAAGAAATAAAAAGTCCAGTCTCTGCCTTTAAACAGCCTGAATACATTTGTTACACATAGAATAAAGCTAACCTATGTTGCCAATGCAATTTATACTCCTCTGCACCCAAGAGAGAAAAGATACCTTTATAAACCAAAAATTTTCCCCTAAATATAAGTCCTTGTGATAGTAAAGAATCAGGCAAAATGTCTCTCAGGATATTTCTAACATCAGGCCTGGGTTGAAATAATCTATCATACTGGTGATTTAAAGGAAAATACACAAAGCTTTAACTTCTTTCTTAAATAAATAAAAAGGCAGATTAATTTAAATACTTTACATAATTAGCATGAAAAAACTTGTCAATTTTATTATTAATTAACAGTACCATATGTTTGCATTATGGTCATTTGTATTACACAAAAATCATTATGTGCAAATAAACCTATGTAATTAACTTTACTAGGATCTGCTATAATTAAAATTTCTGAAAATTAAAAACATTTCATCAATTGAAATCTCAGATAAAAACATGTGTACTTATCACAGAAATTATATCATATATTTACCTCTTTCAGTTGAAATAGTAAGTTTTTTTTTCGAATCTCATTGTGTTTGTCTAATGGCAAAAAGTTAACACTACCCAAGACAACAAAAATGAACTTCATGTTTCTTAGTTTCTTTAATGCACGTAATACATAATAATTACCTTTTCCACAGATTCCTTCAAAATACTTCAAACATATCTTCTTTAATCAAAAAATAAGCTTTTAATAAATATTTAGATTGGGATGATTCTCAGAGTTGTGACTTAGAGAATTTCTTAGTACACACTAAAAGGCCATAATTAAACTAAGAAAACTCTTGCTAAATAAACATGTATTATAAAAACAATACATATGAATGATTTTTAAGTTGCCTTAGTTTCTCTGTGTTCTTACTGAGTAGCCAAGTGATTCCATTCTTGACCTACACCGATGGTGAGAATATATGTGTAAAGGTGACTTGCATTTATATTATATTTTTCACCTTTATTTCTGAATTAATTTGTTAAAAACAATTTTATATATTTACATCAATTGACCACACACTTACTATTTTCTTTTGTATTTTACTATTTAGGGGGATTCAGGAGGACCGTTAATGTGTCAAGAAAACAACAGGTGGCTCCTGGCTGGTGTGACGTCATTCGGATACCAGTGTGCTCAGCCCAACCGCCCAGGGGTGTACACCCGGGTCCCGAGGTTCACAGACTGGATACAAAGTTTTCTCCATTAGAGTGTGTCCTGAGCCAAACACGAAAATCAGCCAGTTTTCCCAGCCCACTCTAAGGAGTGTGAAAATTGAGAATTTTGTAAAGGAAAGAAAAAGTTTCTAAAAGCTTTTTTTTCACCTAGTCACTTAAATGAAAGGGGAAGAGAAACAAACAAATAAACAAAACAGAATTAATCTTTACAATACTAAGTAACTCTAAAATAATACCTTGTGAACAGCTATTCACAGCTATTGTTTCCTTTGTTCTTAATCATTATTTTTATCATATTCTCTTACTGAAAGGAATGCTATTTTAAATCGAATATTATCCACTTTAAACAGCTGAAGCAAAATTAGAAAAAGAAGTGATATAACTGTTTTGCACAAGATATGTTATTGTTCGAAATGAACTGTTGAAAACTATCTAGTTCCCATTTAAATGCTATTGTCGGAAGTTCAGTATTCTTCCTGCTTTTCCATCCAAGTTCATTTCCATCTTGGACATGGCCTCAGTGGCTCCGCTGCTCATAAAAAATAGGTTTTGTAAGCCCATGTCATGAACCTGGCCTAAATTGATTGCACATTCCTAATAAGCTAATTAAACAGCAAACACAAGTATATACATTAACCTTATATCAAAATAAAAGGTAAATTTACTGATATTGTAGTTCTTTTATTGGATCCTTTATCACCTGGATTATTCATGCTGTCTATTTCAAGTATATATTTTTTATTTTCATAAACAATTATACATATTTAAGAAATGCAACTATTAAAATTTTTTTGATTTATGTGTGTTACAGTGAATGGTTGTTTCTAACATATGCAAAACTTATTTAAACACAGCTGAATAGCCCATTAAAAGGCCAAAAATGTGGAATAAATGAATTTGTTTCACTGCTTTAATCTCTTGGACCATTTCCAGAGTAAGTGCAAACTCTAATTTAGCATACCACACAAAATATATTGACTTATTTGGGAAAACAAAATTCATACTTACAAACCAATATATGCACATACATACATACATATTCTTGCATGAGTCTACATGGTCAAAACAGAAAAGAGAGTAAGGTTCAAAGTAGTTGAAAGACGGAGTCACGAAGCACAGATTCTTTTTATGGAAGCAAAACTTGGACTCCCCCTAAAAGGAATGATCATTATGTGTGTACTGTTGAGGCACTGGGGGCCACCATGTAGTTGGGAATGGCCCTGAAAGATCAGCAAAGGCACGATAGATAATCATCTGCTACCATGAAAGATTGTTTCACTGGGTACCAGTCAGAGAAGAGGAGAAAATATTATAGAAAGAAGGTGTGCACAGATGCCTGAAGACTACAAATTCCTCATAAGCCATTGTTGGATTTATTTTTAGGACAAAGGAATCAAGAGTCCCTGAACATACAATTCTCTTTTAGACCTTTCCAATCAGGAAGGATGAAACAGTGGGGGAAGGGTGTGCTGTTTGATTTTACTACCTGAATATGATTCCTGAATTCACCTGCATTTCAAAACACATATGAAGAACAATGCTCTGAAACTACAAACACCCACAACAGATACACAAACCATATAGTCCTTTTTATTTTTCAAAGTTCAGCTAAAATTTTAAGAAACATTCAGGACAGTTTCACGGCCATCTTCTAATAACAGGGAAATTCATTGTCCCACTCCTAGTAACTCACAAGTTTGGTAATTAATACCAGAAGAGTTATCCAGGCCTGGATGAAGATAAAACGCAAAACCAAGGCCCTTCCCCATAGCTTTGCTTCTCGGGCTGCAGCTGTTACAGACATGGGAGGCAGGGACCTGAGGGAAGCCCAGTCTCCTTCCGCTGAGTCCTGACTAAAGGAAGACACGCATGGTGGGAGCTTGGTGGGAAGAGGTAGATTCCAGCAGCTGGTCTCCCATTCTGCCCAGAAAGATGGGCAGCCAAGAAAACAGGAGTGTGAAGTGTGGGCGCATCTAAGCTTAGAATGCAGCTGCGCATTCCCTCCATCTCTAAGCAGCTGAAGAGGGGCCAGTGCCCACTAATTTCTATTTTCCCTTTTAGTTTTGCCAACCAAGTCCAGCTGCGAATTGCCTAAATGAAAGCTCTTTATCATCCGACTGAAAAGGACTGACAGGAAAAAGATGGTTTAACACACTCTATAACCACAAATTTTGTTCTTAACACCCTTAAACAGTTATTTCTTTCCATCTTCATGTATTGATACAAACATATCTGTATGTTATTCTCTTGAGAGATTTAGACAACACACACAATCATTCTTCAGAAACAAGAACTTTTTATTTGGTTAAAAGGAGCACAGGGACCTGTGAGGACTAGATAGTTCCCACTCTCTCTGGGGAACGAGGAGCTGTGAGCATCGAAAAAACTGGAGGTACGACAGAGGAGCCCCAGTTTCTCTCCCAGCCACACCCTCAGTGATGGACGCATGACCACTGATACCCTCCAGCCATTTTTCACACTAACTCATAGTTTCTCCCCTTGCTGAAATGTTAGTGTGCTGTGCTTACCTCCCCACCAACAAGACCCCTCACCTGGCCCCAACAGTTTAAACCCTTTTATATGCTGATAGAGGTTAAACAGAGCTAGAACAAAACCTTGGACGAAGAATGCAGCTATCTGCTTCCAGTTTCAGCCCCAAACCCCTAACAACTCTTTTTGTACTGTGGCCAAGGGAGAGACCCAATTGATTCCAGAAACTTCAGAAAGCTACTTGTGGTTACATAGGCAACAGGTGAAGATGTGATTATACTGTGTATGCTAGTTTTTTCTTCTAGATTGAGTATATTGTTTATACAGTTATTAACAAAGTTATTACAAAATCTGTTGAATTTTAAACTAAAAATAATTGTAAGGCACATGTCTTGCACAATTGAAATTAGACAGTTCTTGCCTCTAAGTAAAACATTTGAGTGGATTTATACCATAGTTAATGAAATACTTTCTTATTTCTGAAGCAACTTCCTATACATGGTCTGATCCAAAGCAGAGAAAGTCAGGTGATTTATTCCTAGAAAGGAACCTTTGTCCAATGGTAATGTATTTATGTGTGTGTGTGTGTGTGTGTGTATTCATTTGACCACAGTGATAAATTTCTTTAATCAGCACAGCATGTATCGAAAAATGAAAGACCATAAAAATAAATATCAGAACAGTTCATTTTTATCAAACACGTAAAGGTAAAATTTTTTGCACACTGTAAATTTCAATACAATTTACATTACATTAACTAGACTACAACCTATGAAAGGTAAAAGAAACAAAAATGACTGCTTCCAACACACATACTTCTGATGTGTCAATAGCAAATTTGTCTGCATGGTCCGTTCCATTCACTTGAAGTTTGGGTGCATCATTTAGCAAAATAAGCGCGTCTCACTCCATTATCAGCATAGCATACTTTGTAAATGAAATGAACATAGAAAACTCGTTTTAATATTTGCCTCAAGGGGGAGCTTACAGTTCATCTTGCAGATCCTCTGAGATTTCAAGCCATTCCAAGCTAAGGTTCTGATGCCATTCTTTATACAGATCCAGAATTACAAAACTCTGTTTTCTTTTCTGGAGCCAAGTCAATAAATTTTTATACTTCCATGCCACTTTCTTTTCTCGTGCTTTTTGAAATCCACAGTGTAGACTGGTTGGGGCTAGTTTTTGTTCTTCCTTTACTGAAAAACATAAGAAGAAGTCAGGTCAATGTATGAGACTTCTTATCAAACTGGGCATATCTTGGTCCAAGTGAAGGTACTTGAGAGCCTTATTATAAAAGGGCCCTTCTCTCACCAGCCTATTTTTTCATCCCTACAAAAAATTCCAGATTATTCCAGTATGTAAGGGTGGTTAGTGCATATAAAATGATGAAAAAATAAAATAGGTGGTTCTCTGTTGGACCCCTTACAGTTTAGAATTCAGATACACACACAAATGTTTCTGCCACAAAGCCAACATTTTTTATTGTAATCACCAGTAAATCAATTTTTTTGGCCTGTGATCTTTGACGTTTTGCTTTTTGAATATTTTTCCATATACATATGCCGTATATAATGCCAAACATCAAGATAGGTTTTTCCTACTAAGTATAAGGACCTTCCTATTTCCCTATTTCCATCAGTTTTTAGGTCCCATGATTAAGTCACTTAATCACAAAAAGTTTAATACTGTTTCAGTCCCTGAGAACAATGTAGATTCAGGTGTATTTATGGGTATCAGAGTTTTCCTAGGTCTGAGGTTGAACTTCACTCTCATGGGATGTAGAGTCTGGGCCCACACTTTCAGCCTGTGCCTCGGGCAGTACTGACTTCCAAACCTCCATAAAACAGACATTTTTCAGGCTCCTGTCTTGAAAGGGGCATGTTCCTGAGTGTGCTCATCACCTTCTGCCAGACTACTGGTTTCAAGCTCTAGATTCCTTTTGGCTGCGATTCCTATGAATGAACCCTCCCTGCATTGCTAGCCACCTCTAGTGCCTGCATATTGCATTCTGCACTTCCTCCCTCCCACAGGTGCTTGTTCCGACTGCACCCTTTCCAACCCCCACAGGTACGCCTTCTGCCCACTCCACTCACTCCCCATCTGCCTGACCTTGCAGAACTCCTTCAAAGAAAAAACACTCTTCCAACAAATAAGCTTGAGACTTTGTTACTAATAAAATAATATGTTCCAGTTATATGTTTTGGAGATTTGCATCCAGAAAAGCAAGATCAGCACATCTTTACCTATGAAATAATCTAACATAAATGGAAAATAAATCAAGCAAAGTTTATGAAAAACACAGAATTTTTTAATGGTGAAAAAGATGGTTAAGTTATTAATGTCATTTTTGTGTAGCACAAGTATTGCATTTGAGTTACTACCAGGTAAGGAAATGAGTTATAATTTTGAACACAACATGGAACCATAGCAACCATCATGTGTACCAGATTAGAATTTAAACTTTCTGCAAGTCACTCAGATAATAATGCAGATGAGACTTTGATGAAGTTTCTCCTTGCCTTCCTGAAAAAAAAAAGGAAAGGGGGAGGATCTGAGAACGATTGAATGAAGCACGACAGCTAATCCTGGCATCTAGAGGTACTTTATTTTGTTTATATTCTGACTCTGAGGATTTCAAACAGTGAAAACTTCACAGGTCTTCAAGATGGAGAAATCTGGGAGACTTTTGAATAAATAGAATCTCTACTGTAACATACTATTTGAAAGAAGAAAAACAAACTTTAGAGAAAATTCAGTTACTAGCAAAAATGAGAAAGACTACATAATATTTTTCAAGTTCTTTTTTTCAAGCCGACCCATTATTCACAGCTCTTCCTTAAAAGTTCCACTGGGTTATGGGAGGTTTATAGCAAATCCTCCCTGTAGATTGAGAAAAAAGAGAGAGAGAGAGAAGTCGTGGACACAAGCAACAGTTTGGTGACTGCAGGCAGGTGGGGTGTGGGGGGAACAAACAGTGATTGACGGAGGCCTGACTTGGAGTAGTGAACACACAGTGCACAGATGATGTGTTGTAGAATTGTGCACCTGCAAGCTGTATAATTTTGTTAATCAGTGTTGTCCCAATAAATTCAATTTTTAAAAAAAGAAAGAAAAATCCCGTCTTTACGTCATTGCTTTCCATAATGATAAATCATCTTTCCATAGTCTTAGGAATTAAGGGAAGACACTGGAGACTTACTATTGTCTTTATTCCATACAACATATTGAAAAACTATTTTAACTGTGTTTTACATATACATTGGAAAACCAAGAGGACATAAAATGTAGTTTTAATTTGCCAGGTATTATTTATTATTATTATTCAAAAAGCCTTACTTAAACAGCTTATAAATGACAGACTGGATTTTTTTTAATTTATGTGAACTTGGGACTTTACATTTATTTACCTTATTTCTGGTAATTTTGTTACACAATGGATTTGTTAGGGTTTATCTGAAGAAAAGAAGAAGATGAATTAATGTCAAAAAAGAAAAATGGCTAATTTAAAAGTCCTTCCCTGTTGGAAAAATGCTCTTGATCAATTTTTTATTGAAGATACTCTGACAAGGATATCTAAACCAGTGCCTTTTAACCTTTTTCATCTCATGGCACACAAAAATGAATTACTGAAATTCTGTGGGATACCCCAAAATATATTTTTTGCCCATGTGATAAAAAACATGCATATAACTCTGATTCTTTCACACTGGGTGGCCATGGCTGTGTTGGCTGTTGTCATTTTTTCATTTCTAATCTACGGGAAAGAAGGGCACTACTCCTAATTTTTAAAACATGCAATACCTGCATGAAGGTATTGCATGTTTTAAAAATTCTGTGGCGCACCAGTTGAAATCACTGGTCTAGTCTATTCTTGCAAACATGTTCTTATTTAAATCCAACATCTTTTCCTTTTCGCCTGTCACAAATATGTGCATTTCCTATGTTAATATTTTAATGGCATTGACAAATTGATACACATGGAAAAATTTTACCTCTAACTCAAGTATATGGATAAACACATACGAGGGGGACCCAAAGAAGACAGAATTGTATTCTGGAGGGTGGGGCCCTTCCAGTACAGGCCTCCCCGACTAGGTGAGTGTTCTAGGAAGCCATCTGTGTCACTACACCAGCTGGCATTGTTGTGAGAGGCTGCATTTGGCCTCAGTGAAGTTTTTTGAAGACTCTTTCAACCCATTTGTTCCTTTCATGATGAGTGATTACGAGTACACTGGCCCACACCACACTGTGTGTTCAGCAGTTTTTGACCAAAAACAGCATGACCCCATGCCCCAACCTCCCTATTCACCTGACCTCACCCCAAGCAACATTTTTTTGTTTTCCCAGATGAAAAAAAAAGTCCTCAAAAAGAAATGTTTTGCCGAAATGGAAGAGGCAAAACAAATACCAAAAGCACTAAAATGCATCAAAAGCAATGAGTTCAAAAACTGCTTTGAGCAGTGCAAAAAATTGTCTCAACAGGTGTTTTGCATCAGATACAGAGTACTGCAAAGGTGACTGAGGTTCAAACAGGTACAAATAAATTCACATTTTTATAAATTAATTCTAGGGTTTTTGGGTCTCCCCTTGTAAAAGAGTACTCTCCAAAATCTGGCTGTTAAGACATACCATTTTATTTCAAGCTGCCTACTAAAAAGGGACATATTTTTACCATTGTGCTTTATTTCCTATACTTAAAAGATCCTTTTGAAATAAAACAGAAGGTAATGACTTGAAATTTTGAAAAGTCACTACGCAGTACACCTACAACAATTGAGTCTTGCATTCAACTGGAAATCAAGATCGAAAGGTTTAATATTAATGCTTTTACTTAATAAGCAAGGGACAATATGATTGCCTACACTGTAAAAGTTTATAAGTATTCAGATATCAGATCTATCACATGCACTAGCCATGAGACCCAAGGCAAATCGTGTCTAGCCACCAACTTCTTGACTGGAAAACAGAAACCAAAGAGTACCCACTTCATATGGCTTGTGAAGAGTAAATGAGATAATGCAGGAATCCTATGAAAAGGTACATCTTATTAGGTTGTCTATATTAGGTTGTCTTATTAGGTTGGATTAGTGCTGACAGATAAAAAAATGAGAAATTTCTTAAGGCAAATTAAAAACATAATTTTATGCTAATTTTAAAACTTTTCAAGGAGTCTTTACATATAGGAATTATTTACCTTTTATGCAGCATCTGGAAACAGCAAGTACCAAAAGCAACCAGTATCAGCAAGAGCAGTGGGATTGTTGGTATAACAACATAAATTAAGTTGGGAATTATGCCTACAAAAGTAAGACGGTCAGTGTAAAAAGGCAGTTGAGGCAGAATGTTAACACCAAAGTTATATAAAAATTTTCAAAAACTGTGAGGCAAAATAAAATTATTATAAATAACTAGATTCTGAACAAGGTTCTTCCCTAATTACTAAATAGTCTAAGCAATAATATACCCATGTTTGTTAAAAATCAAAATCAAAATCATACTGCACTGGTGGCCATACTCCTGTTCAACGCCATATTTCCAGAAGTATTATCAAATCTGCTATCCAGGCAGAGGCTTATTTTCCTAATGAATTAATAATCACAGTTATCTCACCTCACTGATCCTTCTTAGTTCTTACTTAGAGTATCAAGCATTGATGTTTAAACAATAATAATCATTATCAAAATAACTGTTGATTTATTGGACATGTAATTATCCTAACCAATAAGCTCAGTACCACAATTATATGCAAGATTCCCTGGGATTAATCCAAAATACGCAAACACTAACTGATGATATAGTCATAACCCAGAGACTCAAGACTTCAGAGACAGGAAGACTTGATCTTAATTAAATTCCGAAATGAATCATCTCTTTAATCCTGTTCCATATCACTTAATAATACTGGTATTCTTGATAAAATAAAAACTGAAGTCTCAGGCAGCATAAGATGACTTTATTAAACATTTTTTTCATTGTCATAGGGGAAATTATTTCTAATGTAATTATTTACTGATATCTTTAATTAGTTTAGATGGTCTGAATGGTTTAAAATCAGGCATCTGAAAAATAAAGAGTACTAAGTTTTAAACCACCTAAAAACTATCATTTAGCTACCAAATCAAAAACTATCATAATTATTTATTAATTTAAATAATTCTGGCCAAAGTAGACCTAACTTGGGGCAAACTATGCCTTTAACTGCATATCACTTCCTTTGTTAACACAAAGTTATACTAAGGTTTGGTGATGTTGAGTATAATTTGCTGTGTGTTCACCAACTCTTGAGCATCCAACAAGTAACAGGTAACATTGAAAATTGTTAAAATTCACAAAATGTTTTCCTACTCTTTCAAAATGCCATCATGATTATATACACATATACATACACATATATATACATACATATGCATATACGTATGAAAAAAAGAGACAGTATTCCCTACTCTTTCATGGATTTTGTATTGCCTGTGAAAATATTTTCAGACCTTTTGGGTCTTTGGCTCTAACCTCACAGAGCAACTAGGATAAATAAAAATTTCTGTCCAACTGGCATAGGGCCCTGCTGAAACTCTGACTAACAGGCAATTTGCATTGGGATTTCATTGTTTCTTTCGCAGACAGTGGTAAGTTAAAGGCAGCTGGGTTAGAGCTCATTGTATGCATTTTTCCCACCCTGTTGTTCAACAATGTTACTTTGGTGGCTTGAAATCAGCCAGGGAGTATTCACATCACAGAAAATTCCAAAGTCAACAAATCGGAGTTTTTATTTCACACCCACCTCACCCCAGCCAACCCTTAAACAGTTACCAGCACACCACTGTTCACAGGCCACTGCCCGTACCAACTTACATCATAACTCTTACACGTTACTGGGGGAAGGTCCTTGTAGATCCTGATTCTAATGGGGATTACTTAGTTTAGTACTAGATACACCCAACTGGAAGAAAACAAAAGTAACCTCTTGTATTACAAAACTAGTTTAGCCTCATTTGTTCTAACCTAGCTCAAAAGTAAATTTCTACGGGCCTGTATGCAGCGCACCACTTCAACAAGCAACAGCAAAAGTTGGGGCCAGCAGGAAGTGGAGTGTAAACATAGTTTCTGTCCTTGACAGAGGAGTTAGAAACCAGGGAACAAATTACCTGCTTCAGTAACAACCACGTTTTGATGGGCGTCTCCTGGTTGGTTCGTAAAATACGTCTTTTCTCCAGGTGCTGTTGGATTAATCTCTGTAGATAATAAGTGCAGACATCATATGTAATGACAAACAAGAGAAATATAAATAAAGATAAAAATAAAAGTTGACAATAAAATTATGCAAACATCAGAGTTTTGACTCCTGAACAATTTACAGCTAAGAATTATATTTTGAATTTAAATTCGCATTTAATTATCTTTAAATCAAGCATCCACCTAATGAATTCTTGCAACCCATAATTGCAGTAACAGTCAACAGTGTGCCCATACTAATACAGCCTGTTCCAGGCAGTAATGACAAAGCAGGCAGGAAGCTAAACAAAGATAAGCAAGAATCAGTGACCACAGCATGCAAGCCACTAACTGCAATCCAATGGCAAGTAAAGATGATGTTACTTGCCATTGGTGTTAATATCAGTACCATGTTTAGGTGTCTCCTCACAGTAATAATCAGCAGAAGATTGTATGTGGATTGATTGCATTTGGTCTTGATGATTCAAATATTAATATCCCATGCACATATCTGCCCTATACAAATAATGCCCTTCCCAATAGTGTTTACCTCTTTTAAAATAATAATAAATTAAGGCTTGTGAGACGTTTCTTTTCCTATGTTTATAAGATGAGATCTCTTCAATTGCCATGTCCTTAAAATATGTTGAAATATCTTACCATGACTTGGTATTGCTCTACCACCAATTTTTTCCTAGATTCTTCTTTTTAAATTAATAAGTCATGGAATATCAGTTAAATTTGCAAGAAAACACCCTATAAGTTTGTTTTCATTTATTCCAAAAAATAATGTTCTGTTTATTTTTGTCAAGTGATGGAAAGGAAAGCACCCATGCAGTATCTTATCTTAGTTTCAGGGTAGTAAGTCATTTTAATGTAATATTTACTACTCTAATTTGACCACGTAGTTTGTATTCTTTGGAAGTTTAATCATACACCATCCCATAATAATACTTACTGTTCTTTATGCATATCTCACCCTGACACTTTACCAGCCTCCTCTAGGTTTTAGATACAGTCCTGCTTTCCACTCACTTTTCTGGGCTCTGCTTATGCTCAACTGGTACTCACTGAACAAGTAACACAGATATTATGTAATGTGTCCACATCGAACTGGTTATTTTTAAAGTAATTTTTAATAAATTTAAGTTAATGCAGCTGCTGATTAAGTCACAATGTTTTAGGAATGTAATCCCATTCATGCTATTTTAACATCTTAGAATAAGCATATATAATGCAATTTTTAAAAATACAAAAATTAGATTCAGACATTTGCCCATAAAAATGTGTTTGGGTAATATTGCTAGACCTAATGAATAGATATGCAATCCACAGGACAATAACAAAAAACAGTGGCGAAGAGAGTGAGAAAACTCGGAAGTAAATTATTGTTTCTGCTTAGCAAGGTTCATTTGTTAACACTCTGGATACTATTAGTCATACTTAGATGGTGTGTGGGAGCAGAAAGAGGAGACTCAGTTCAAATCACAAAGTAGTTCTGGTATAGTTGGAGAATAACATTCAATATAAGTAGTGTTATAATTTATACATTTTAAACTGTTTTGCTGCTTAATCCTCTAACCCCCCTCAGCACTAAAAAGCTAACCACTATCCACCAAAAAAGTACTGACCCTTATAAGCAAGGAATGTAATGAAACCTACATCTTTCATAGATAAGCCACTAAGATTGAGGAAGTTTAACTAAATATAAAAGTTAAAGATGAAAATATCTAGAGAATAAAAATTCTATGTACCTTAATAAAACCAGCTGTAAAATTGTGCATGTGCTTCAAAAACAATAAATAATAAACGAATGTTGTTCACAAAGTATAGATATTTGAAGACTTAGGTAGAATACAGAAGATAAGGGAAAACAATAATTTTATGACTACAGTGCTCTTCCTGGAATAATATAAACCTAGATTATCTAATGCGAAACAAGTCAAGAAGATTCTAGGGTTATAGTGTCCTGACTAATGTAAGACAAAAATAAAATAAAATAAATGTACTGAAGGTCAAATTGTTCATCTAAAAGCTCAGAGAAGAAGACAGTGCTGTATTAAGAAGATTTTTTAATATACTTTGTTTTATTTAATAGCTTTGAGTACCTATACTCACAAATTTAAACTATCAGAGAATAAGCACTTCTTGGCCTTTTGGCTAAGATCAAGTGTAAACTATCAGAGAATTTCAACTTTATATTTTTCTACAAAAAAAATAAAGACAAAGAACATAAAGGCATAACAGATTTGGCTTTGTAAAATCTTCTAGGAGGGTAATGATGGATTTAGCAGCCTAGGGGTTGCTAAAGAATAAACTCACCAGGGACAAAAAGTTGGCTAATATACTCAAGAGCAGGATAAACATGAGAGGAGAGTGAATCTAATCCATAATCCAAATAATCCCTTGTGCTTTACAGTCTTGTGAGAAAATGAAATCATGTCATTTTAAGACAATAATGGAAATAGCAGAACTTGATTGTAACTGACTTCCATGAACACATGAGGTCAAGCAGACAGAAGAATGAAAATGACACTTCCAAACACTGAAGAGACAAATGGGCAAAAAGTAATCTCAAAGCCTGGATAACTAATTTAACTTTCTTACATTGTTTTTTAAAGTGAGTTTACACAGTTTTGATTAACCTCTCTTTTGGTTAAATAGCAATTCCGTTGCGTTGTCTTACTCAAAGTAAGTCAAATGTACTGTTTCCACAGGAAACCACCATGGTGTAGCTCAGGGCAATGCAATCTTCTTATTTGTGGCCTGTGGCGATGAGCTGGAGACCAAGTGAAAGATGATTAAGGAGACAATCTTCCAAGAGTGAGGATCCCAGCAAGAACAGGGCACACGCCCCTCTTTCTCTTCAGTATGGATGGTTCAACGAGCTATGATCAGTTTAACATTCACTGAGAAGAACATGCCAAGTATCACGTCCTGAAATAACAAACTAATGTTTCAGGAGAAGGTCTCTTTAATCCCTTAAATTCCCCAGATAATCACCTTATAAACTGTTGCTCAGATATGTAAATCTACGGGTGCTTTGGTGACACAGCGCCTTCATACATACTGTGCTAAATATTTTAAATATTTTAAAATAGATGCTTATTTTTCGTTAAATCTATGCACAAAAAATAATTTGGTTTTAATATTAGAAACGATTTTCTCTTAAAGGCACCCCTCCAGATGTTTCCGGTTACTCCCCTACTCTGTGTCTAGTGACTGTGGTTTCTATTTCCACTTACTCCAGTTTCTACAGTTCCTGGTTACACTAGTCCTAGTTAAGTCCTTGGGCAGTGTGTTCTACAGCACACAGCATGCTTTCATTGCACTCAGTGATATGACAAGCTGCAAAGTACTTTCATGCTTCAGAGCAAGAAAAAACAAAAGAGCCAAATGAAGCAAAGCTTAAAGATAAAACTGAATGTAAGCAAATATGCTCAAGATCTGATATACCAAGGTACAACACATCCTACCTGGCTCGTACTTGCAGATGTAATTGTGCTTCATGTTGCACCTGTCGTCATTCCACTGGTAAAGGTAGGGGCCTCCGAGGCCAGGATTGGCGGTGGGTTGATGATACATCACGACGCACTTTTCACTTCCACAGGAAGGTTCATCAGTATACCAGTTTCTGCAAATACAGGGCAGGTGGGGCAAAGATAGGTTTGCAATTGTTCATATGAAAAATAATGCAATAATTAATGAATAATGCAAGACTAAACTCTGTTTTGTGTACTCACAACTGTAAACCCACTTTTGTCCCACTCTGTACAGAGCAGCAAGAATGCCTCTAAGTGATCTTTGCTGCTCTGTCCTGACATTCTCTGCAGGTAACAGAAATCTCCCCCAGGCCCCGACTCACCGGTACTGGGAACTGCTTCCATCAGACCACCGGTAGAGATCTGGGCAGGCACCGGATGCTTGCCCATCTCCATTTCTCCAAAGGCCTATCCAGAAATCACCATCGGAAATGCCTGTGCCTGGTTTTGTCAGGTTTTGCAACATGCTTTCTATTAACTTCTGTTCGGCTTCATTCTCCAGGCTGAGCAGGGCTCCCCCCTCACTCTCACACGCCAGGCGTGCCTCCTGGAAGCTCACACGGCTGGACAGTTCATGGAAATAGGCCATTTTGTAGCATGGGTGCTTGTAGTCGGCAAAACACACCTTTTGGCCTGAAAAAAAAAGACAAAGACTTAAATACATAAGCAACAACAAAAAAGTTTGATTTAAAAAATTCCCCAAATTAAATTCTACATATACCTATATATCAAGCAGAATGAATTTTCCTGGAGACTTTGTGACATAATCACAAATACACACCATCATATCATGTTATCCTGAAGCCATAGTGTATACGATTTAGCTAACTCTACCAGCAACGGAATTCCTATTGCTTACACCCTGCTCCTTTTACCACCAGGCAGGTAGGCCAAGATTATAGACACTCTTCCCAACGGCCATGCTGCTTTGTTTTATTTTTCATTATCTTCTTTAGCTCATCTGTGATCTTTGCTTGTCAACTTTAAAAACTGCCACAAGCCCCTCTCAGTCACTGCTCCTCATTTCCAGCCTGCTGCCCATGACCTACACTCTCTTAGTCTTTGACTCCAGCTTAGGTTTAGACTTAGAAAACAGAGTATTTGACTATTTTATGTAAAATTATGTTAAATTCCTTTGTGTGGAGAAATTAAGGCACAGCTTTACTGTTTTCTTATGATTCATCTGCACGAATATTGTTCTTGTTGAGATTGAAGGCTTTGTTCCCTATGTATTTAATTTTGTAGCCAATCAAGAAGAGTTGTCAGTCGTGGAAGGGTGGGAGCGTAATTGTACTTTAACACTGGCTAAAAAATAAAGCATTTGAGCTTTGCACTCTTAATTACAGTGTATCACACTGAGCCAGTGTTGGTATCACATCCATTCTCCCCCAGAATCAGCAGTTAATGGCCAATGATGACACTCGGAGGCAGAAGGGAGCAGAACTCAGCGCAAGGCCATTAACCTCACCACAGTGTTTGTTTGAGTGATGGGTGTTCAGTAACTTGGCACAAGCAGAGAATGGCCAACTAATGAAATGGCAGCTCCAGCAATTCAAGTGAGACAGCCAGTTGTCCTCTGTCTCATTAACTGCTATCTGGACCCAGGAGCAACACTCTGAATGATATAAGCAAATTAACAGACTGCCCAACTAATTGTTAATGAAAAATAACAAGCTAGTATGAATGCCCAAAGGGCATTAGAATTAAAGAGACCTCAAATGGACAAAATAAGTCTGAAACATTCCTTGAGAGATGATTAAGGAAGTCCCAAAGGTTGATTCTAATATAACTATTATTTTTTTTAATTTCTCTTAGTTTATTATAAGGTTTCGTGTTCACTACATTAATTAAAAGTGGTTTTTCTGGTAATGTTCTAACAATGCCATTAAGTCTAGTGATTTTTATGCCTATATTTTAAAATCAAGTTCTGTTTCCATTTTCATCTTCTGCATCCTTTACATATCTCTAAGTTTCAAAATATCTCTTAACTGCATTCCCTTGAGGTTGCAATTTGTTTAGCTTTTCATTCTAAGACATCACAGACTCAGATTTGACTCCAGCACTTTTAAAATATTAAACTTGCCTAGCGTGATTGTTTTGCAAGAGGTCAAAAAGCCAAGTTTAAAAAAAAAAAGATTATACAAAACTTTTAATGAGTAAAAATTATTTATGTAACAAAGCCAGCACACATTCAGAGAATGCACAGGTGTGATTTTAATGCTAACAGTCTCTGCTCCTTATCTATCATAGATTAAAAAACAAATGCAACACAGATGTATTATCTATGGTGAGGGTACAAAAATGATTAAACTAAACTGGTTTATAAAATTCAGACAGCACTTCTAATTAAATATATGAGAGCTTTAGCCCTGACTGCTGTGGCTCAGTGGGTCGGGCCTCATCCCGCAAAGCAAAAGGTCACCATTTTGATTTCCGGTCAGGGCACATGCCTAGGTTGCAGGTGAGATCCCCAGCTGGGGGTGCAAGAGGCAACCCATCGATGTTTATTTCCTGCATTGATTCTCCATCCCTACCCCTCTTTCTAAAAATCAATCAATAAATTAAAAATCTTTAAGTTCATGAGCGCTTTAAATGTCATGAAAAAATTTCCTAATATCACTCTTAGGTATTAGCAAAGTAATGTTAGTCTGTAGAGAGATAATAAGAGAAAACCCATAGGCAGGGATTATATTAACATAATTAATAACAACTACTGCACAGGCCTTGGACGATAGCCAGCCTTGACACTCGCCCTGGCTGTGGATGATGGAGTGGTCCAGGGATCTGGGTGAGCGGTAGAGACAGTTGGGGCTGCACCGCAGGGGAAATCTTAGAGGATCCGGACACTGGCCAGTTACCAGCTACATATAGACGTTAACTCCAAAGTGTATCGACTGAATATCAACTGTGTCCACAGATTTTGACCTGAAGTCACTACCGGTTCTAATCTAGCCAGGCAGTTTTCAGGAAATTGTGGAAACATTGCATTTTTTAAAATGAGATATATGTCATAGTCAGTTAAAGCTGGCCCTGTGAATTTCTTCACACCTGATTGTACTTCACTACTGATTTCCACCTTACTAGGGGCAAATTTAGTGCAAGTTGCAGCACGACCAGCAAAGAAGAAGCTATCAAACCACTGCTGTCATTTGGCTGTGACCGCAGTGGAAACTCCAACAGCTGGGAACAGATGCTGCCCTGATTCCCAGAGAAGTCCCGTTAACACGGATCTCAGGAAGCGGCTTTTCCCACTTCTACAAAGGCTAATATTCCTAGAGAACCGTTATGATTACCACCCTTCTCATTCTGTGAGATCACAGAGAACATTTCCTTTTCTCTTTTAAGTATTATATTCAGATGAAATCTTCCATCACTGTATTGAAATACAGGAATCCTAATCTTCCATCTGTTACATCAATTTCCATCTACCATTCTACTCCCCTTAACATATTCAGATAATCGCATAACACTTTTTACTACACAGAGGCTGCCTTGATATTGTCCAACAATGATTTAATAAATGTTGCCTAGCATCTTCTGTGAAGAATATTCTTTGATTGTTGGCTTATTTACAAGAGAAAAAAAGATATTCCAACTAAAAGTCTGCACTTCTATTAACACTTCTCACACCCATTAACTTTTATTTAGAAATATTTCTCAATATTGACTATTAAACATTCATATCAATATCAGAGCTAAGATTGTGCTATTATTTCTATGAATACATATATTTGTCTTTTTTTCTTAGTCATTAAAATTCCTTTAGAGCTAAATATTGGCAGAATTTTAAGTGCTTTCGGCAATAATGTAAAAGTGGAGTAAAACTCATAAATGCATTGTAGTTTATTCTTTCTTCCTAAATAGAAAGTACCTAAGGTTTGGTTGTATTTTGTTTATATGTATTAACCTTCTGACAGGTGAGTGCTCAGTTTGTTAGGAAAATAATATCATTTTTCTTATACCTCACACTACAATTGTGTATTGCAAATATTAAATCATTGAATTTATATCACATTATTCAATAAAATATGGAAGACACTTTATGAATTCCTAATGTTCCATTGTGATGTAACTTAGGCTGCAAAGAAAAGTTAAACAAAAGCAGATCTGCATAAGCCCAAACATGATTGACTAAACATTATTTTATTAGAAACCCACAAAATAATTTGTTTTTCATAGTTCTCCTTTCACTCCCCTCAAAATCCCCCTGGTAAGTTGTGCTGGCACTTCGATACCCAGGGCAGCATGACCTTTGATGGCGACGCCCATACTTTCAAAGTAGAAAGGAAGCGATGCTGCTCATCCTGTTTCTGTTTTCAATGTTCAATATCATCAGAATTTTCCTTCATAAAAAAAATTTGTTATACTCAACTTCACTTTTGTTGGAGGGGTTTTTAGAATGCAATGAACTGAAGAGTGCACTATGAAGTCTGTGCTGAAATCCATTTTCCAATATTGGTAAGCAAAACCCAAACTGCAGTCTTGGGTCATTTTGTGAATGGTGGTGGCAGCTGCAAGCCCCCCCTCTCCAGCTAGGGAATGCCACATGCTTCCTCACAAGGAGATGAGACTCATCTTTTTAAAATCCCAATGTTTATAATCAAGATCTAAAATAGTAAATGGTAAACCAAGTAACTGTGTGACAAGATTTCAAGCATTCTATCAATCAGGACTGGCTTAGCATTCCAGAGCTACATTGGAACTATGGAGACATTACTTAAACTTTCCCAGCCTCAGTTTTCTTACCAAAAGTGGTTATGAGCTCTAAAGAAATAATGAGAGCCTGCCATTTATTGTTAGTTTAGTACCCAAGGCCTCACGGCTAGTACCATCCATGCCTTGGGGTAAATTAGGAAAAGATGTCTCCTGGTGATGCAGACTTTTCACCTAGAAAACAAAGAGCTGTGTTTTCCTGTAGGGGGCCTCACTCCAGGCGCCGGGCTGGCCAAGCCGGGTCCCCAGCACAGCTCTTTGGCATTCACTCCCTGGTCACACAGCCCGTGCAGCTGTGTCAAACCTTTTAAAACCCCCAACCACCCTAGGCCGTAGGTGTTCCCATCCCATTTTTAAAACAAAGGGGAAAAAAGGAAAGTTAAGTAACTTTCTGAAGTTCAAACAGCTCATAAATAATAAAATCAGGGTTTAGGAGCGGGCAACCAGGCCGTAGAGTTCACGCATTTACCTTGATTTCCATGCAGCCCACACACATGCCTCAAACCGAACACTTTTTACTAAGTGGGAAGATTTCAAAAATAAAGGATTGATGAATATATACATTATTTATGTTTTTTATGTTGTAATTATTAGTATTGATCCATGAATGATTACTGGGTGGCTAATATAGGCAAGGGGTTGGGCCTTGAGAGTTTGTTTCTAAGCTGATTGTGGATTTTCTATGACTGAACATTTAGTCGCCGGATTAATATTCGAACATGGACCTCATATTTCCAGACCATATATGTCTTTAATGATTATTTTATTGAGCCCTTTTGCTTTCCAAATAAAATGAACGAGGGCCACACTGAATTTTCCCCCTAATTACAAGGAGGATAACTTTAATCAGGTCGGCAGGTCGTGCTGTATCGTCAGTGGGATGTTAAAACAGTGAAAGAAGCGGCCTCCCTGGGCAGGGTGTGTACCTCTGGCCACCTGAATGGGAAGCACCGACACAGAAGACAGTTGCAAAGAGTAAAAATGGTTACTGAGAACATGAGCTGGATTTCTTCTTGCACCCCTTTATTAAATAACACTGCCTTCTTTATCATGTTAATGGAAAAGATATTGCCACTTTCAGGAAAAAGAGTTATAAAAACAAAACCAAAATGCTGAAAAACTGCAATTAGGCATTAATGGCTATGATAAATGTGTCGTTTACTAAGTGGCTAGTAACAAGATTAATTTGTTCCTTTCTTGCCCAAGAGATACTTAAAGTAATTGCATCTTTGCAAACTGCACCGTCATCACTTTATGCTTTTGATGATGTCATGGAATTCTACCAGGGCCTGGGATAAGAGTTTCCACATCTCCTCTGCTATTATATCCATCTATAGGCTACTGAACACCAGCATGATTCTGCAGTATTCTGTGGCATCTCTGTGAGAAGAAGAGAGCTCTCTAAAACATCCAGTCTCCTAAACAAAATGTGTGCCAACTGTAAATTCAAATCAATACATAGTAAAATGTTCTGCAGACATTGGGAGGGACCATGAAACACACTCAATGGCGTTTCGCAGCACAAACAGGTTGAGGATCACAGCTGTGTGCGCTGAAAAAAGAGAGAGTAAAAAGAAAAAAAACACATTACTTCAAAACATCTCAAGCGTTTAAAAATAGCCACATGCTCTTCAAACACCTCTTCCCAGCTGGTAACCTGAATTCTGAACTCTTCTTTCGGATGTGTATTGATATCCCCATAAGTAAAAACCTCTTACCTTTGTCCTGAAGATTTCATTACCTATCATCAGTCACTTGACAAAATTAAATGACTGCAGCCCCCATAGGTATTCCCTACACATCTGTATTCAGCCATAAATCAGTACAGGTCTAAGACCCTAAAAGAAGTTCCCAACTTAGAGTCATAAATTCACAAAATACTCCCTGATTGTCATTCTCATGGTTATATGGTAAATAGTCGTAGCACACATTTACCCATCAAGATAAGCACACCAATAACTTATAAAAATATTTCTCTACAATTGCTGAATGCTATTAACTCTTATAGGTAAGATTATGATGATGAAGTTGTTTAAAGTGCTATTCCTTTTTAAATACTTTCATTTCCTTTATAAATAATGCTCTCAATTTTTTAAAGGATAATGAATTTTAAAGTACTAGAAAATATAACTGGATATTTTGAAGTACTAACGTAAGAATTTCTATGAAGGATCATTTTTCTGCGGTGATTATTTTGGTACACTACATAGAAAATATAAATAGTTGCATTGATATTTAATAAGTAGAAAATGTATTCCATATATTGAAAGTATATTTTCAATACGGGTCCCCAAGAACCTGTTGCAGCAACACACACTTGAGAATTTTGGTAAATGGTCCCTAGTGGCATGAAGAAGTTGACGCACCCCTCAGAAGTTGAGGACTAGGTGGACATTAAATTTGCTACTTCCAAAATGCCTCACTTTAAACTGCTCTGTGTTCATGTCATTATGGCTGAAATATGTATATTTTCAATAGAGAGTCTCCAAAGAATAAAATCGCAAGCCAGTTTATAATGCTAAATGTCAATGTGAACTTTTATGACCAAATACAATTAAATTATTCATAAAATCATAATTGTTTAATATCAAGTAAACATCATCATTTATGCTAAATCAAATATATCATGTTCAGTTAACTAGAAATTTTCCAGATGTCACCCAAAAGATGCCTATAAATAGTAGAAAAACACAGCAAAATTGCAACAATTTATGCAATAACAAAACAGAATAATCTATCACCAACAATTTTTAAGTTCTATTTTCACACTGTGTATCTTTTTTATTCCCTTCCAAAGTTAAGGCATACAGGCAAGAGTATACAAAAGGGATACTATTTAATTCAAAGAAGTGTTTTTAGGTGTTTCAAAAACACCTTATGCTCAAAGCCTGATCACCGCTCTTCATTCATTTGCCAGAATAATTCTGATAAACACAAAGGCAGTCAGGTATGTAATTCACACATGCAGATGAGTCAAATATACTGTAGTCTTTCTTCAAAGTTAAATGAAAGGGAAATGGAACTGATGGTATGGCTTCTAAAACATCCTTATTTGGTACTGTTTTCATTTTAGAAAAACTAACAGCCTAATTTTCTTTTCTTTTTTAAGTAAGCAGTATGCATTTCCAAATGACATGTTACAATGCATTTAATTCCAATGTCTCCACAGTGCCAAAAAATCAGTAGAGAATGGATGATAACTAGACATTTAAGACTTATATTCTGAAGATGTAGAACATCACATATTGCTGAGGAAAAGATCAGTAACCATTAAGCTTAATATGCCAGTTTCTAAAGGTCTGGCCTCACAGCTGATTAAGTTGCTGTCATCTGTCATCTACCTCTGGTGACACCTGTTGTAAGATGCACAGAATGTGAAAGGGAATTTGTACTTTTTACCTGAAAAACCTTCCCACACTTAAAATACATGCCCATATACTTTTAGCAAATATTCCTTGCAACACTTTAATTAGCATCACAAGATATTTCAATAAAAGGAGCTATCTACGCTCCATTTTCTTTTTGAAAACGGCCCTATTAATGCATCCTAGGCTTCTGAGAATCCTCATATGTTTTAAGAGACCTTACCAAGAAGTAAGAAAGGGCAAACCAACTATAAATTGTTCAACAATAAGGGAGTGAAAGTGGAAGAATAAGAAAAATCAGAGCGAACGCCTAGTAGCATGCCATTTCTGAACCATTTACCTTGCCCTGACTCTATCGACCTAACTGGACACCTACTGTGTGCACGAACCTAACACCTAGTAGTCACCATATACACCTCAGCCCAACTCGAGCCGACCTCATTTTCTGTTGAGTCCCCAACTTGGAATGAGGTGTGCCAAGGAAAGGCGTCTGCGCACTGTGACCAGTGCCCTATTCTTTGTCAGTCCTCCCGAGAACAAAGGCTGTGTGCCCTGGGGTCGGTGAGCCACTCGCAGCCAACAAGTCTGGTCTCAGAAACGCTCCCAATGAGCTCGGTGCGTGGACCGAAGCGGCCAATAGAGGGTGGCATTCCTGCAGCGGCTCTCCCTTCCCGGACTCCCTCGGTGCCCGCGGTACCCCACCCCTGCCGCAGGTGCCCAGCCCTGCCCTGTGGCCAACTCTCACACACAGAAAGTGGAATCAATTACTCCTCGAAAACATCGTGCTGCTCGCGATGAAGCAGAGCCCTTTTCGCAGCTATTGAACTAGACACTTCCTGAAATTTTAAACTTTTTGTGTGTCTTTCGGGGGTGTGCGGGGGAGAAGAACGAACAACACAATCCGTTTCCCACACCTCCCGGCTCCCCACCCCGCACAGGTTTCCAACCCCGGGGACAACCTCCACCCCAGGACGGGCTGCCCCGCATCGCCCTTGCCCGCTCGCCCCAAGGTTCACCTCCCTGCTGGTCCGCTCGGCGGGCGGGCGGCCCCCGGACTCACCGCTCACCACCCGTCGGCAAAGGGCTCCGTGACAGCAAAGCAGAGCGGCTCCCAGCAGCAGCGAGACCACGCGGCTCATCGCGGCAAGGCGGTGGCGGTGTCAGCGGCAGCAGCGGCAGCAGCAGGTGTTGCCCCGGGCGAAGGCGGCCTTTGCCGGCGGCGCAGCCAAGGCTCTAACCCCTGCACTTCCCTGCCTTCCTGCCGGCCCTACTCCAGCTGCCGCAGCCCAGCCACTCGGTCCGCTGCACGCATCGCCTTTGGCTGGACCTGGAGCAGGGCGCGCTGCCGTGCGCGCGGGTTTGCTGGGCTAGAGCGCACGACCCGGGGAGTGCGCGTTCAGGGAGGGGGAACAGAAGTTTGGGGGTCCCTTGTGGGTCCCAGATATGCAGCAGAAGCTCTGGTTGGACGCCACCGGCCCGCTTTGATCCTCTCCCGGCCCTTTAGTGAATTCAGGGGCTGAGTCCGCGCGCCCCGATCTCGGATCTCAGGGCAGCAGCAGCAGCTCTGCGCTGGAGGCACCGGCTTATATACCCACATCCCGAGGCTCCGGCCCCTCGCTAGTAACAATTTTTAACTACTTCGTTTCTCCTGCCTTGCGGAATATCCCGGCCCCTCCCCTAAAAACTGGAGCCACTTTGAAAACCGTCTACTCAGCAGCTCCACCTCCTCCCCTCCACTTCTCCCGGTCTCCTCGTCTCATTCGCTAACAGACCCGAAGCTCATTTGTGTAAAATGCAACAGTTTTGCTATTAAACTCTGGCAAAAGTTGGACCAATGTGGTTGTCTCAAAGATTAATGTCCACGGGGATGCCAAGTTGTGGGGCCTTTCTTTTCTGTGTGCTAAATTGCTTGATCATGAGTATTGCTAGATGCAGGGCACGATCCACTATTGAAGATGAATTGGCAGAGTGGAGCCAAAACCTGCTTAGTGAATTATATAATGTGGCAGGTTTTCCCCCACGTAGGTTCTACAAATAGATGACTTCCAAGCAAGTTGTGTGACTAAATTGCCACAGGAGTAATTTCAAAGAATATTTGAAGCACGATTTTCCCAACTGGTCTCCATCTTCGTATTCACAGCTCCAGAGAAAACCATCAAGGCAAAACAAATATTTTGAATACTTGGGAATTTCATGGATGTAAATATATGTATTTCCCTGCAGTCATCTATCAGTGACTTATGGTTTGCATTAGAAGTAGGACTCGATCTAAACCCTACAAAGGCATTTTTTCTATACCCTTACCGAGTCTTTATTAAAACCGTCCCTTTAAGGATGGTAGGCTTTCCTGGAGACTTGGGAGGAAGTGAATGAGAGTTTCATCTATAGCCCATGAGAGGAAATTTGAGAATGCTCTCAATAATGAACTTCAGTAGAACTGGTATTTTTGCCCATGTTTTTGTACATGTCCAAGGGTTTGTTAATTAAAATCCTTTGGTTTTGATAGATAGTAAACCTTCCTGTAACACCCTCTTCTCTTTGTTTTTCATATGCCAAAAGCACACAATAAACATTCGTTGGACTTTTTTTCTTGAAACAGGTTAATCCTGCTATGGTAAGAACAAGTCTTGCAGGATACGAGGTTCTAGCACTTGGAAAGACCTTAAATAATATCAAACCCACCCTACTCAAGAAAGAATTCTAAAATAACTATAATGATGTCTATCAGTTTATTTTTCCTTGTATAACCATGAACATTCTAATTTAATATCAGGCCATGGGCAAGTAATAAATCTTGCAGAGGGTATGATTTTTTTAAATTTCACCACTAGCTAAGTGTCCAAAAGAAACAAGCATTGCTGGGATTTTGAATGGATACCTGATAAATCCACAAGGCAATGGAGGACTGCACAGCCTCGTGAACCCTTTCAAAGAGACTGGGTGGTTGTGATCACAGAATTGCTCCAGGGGCTCACTGCCCAGTGTGGGGAAAGAAATATAATAGTGACCGTGTGCCACGGTTAGCATGGAGGAATGAGGTAGTTTTGCAGGAATTTTCTAGCAGTCGTCCAGGTTGAGGGTGATGATCCTCGTTGGCTGGTGACCTGAGTGAATTCTCCAAATGCCTGCACACCTAGGATTCTGAACAGGAACTTCTTTCTCCTTTCGTGGCATCCTACTCCTAGATATTAGTGTGGCCCAGAGTTATCATGAAAAGGTCCCTGTTTGGGAAGGACTATCAGTGCATTACAGCATGAGCACTGGATATAACCCCCTACCCATCAACAGATTCCAGATGCCCCAAGCTTCTCTGACATCTAAAAAGCCAGCAAGTCCTTGAACCTATTATTGGCCAGGGGGAACCCCATGGGTTTTGTACTTCAGAAAATCCAAATTATAACGACTGACTCTTCAGTAGGGTGGTGCAGACATCCAAAAATATAGTTTCTTTAGGTTAGGATTTCATCAGTTCAGGGTGGCCACACTGGTTTATGAGGGCTGCTCAGCAGTTTGACTTACCAGAAAAACACATTATTAAAGGTTCTTTTTAGATAGGATTATTTTAAGGGGACTGGCTGACAAGACTAGCTATTTTCTTTGCTTCTCCATCACTGGCAAATATCTGGATGGATCATCGCTAAATTTGGAGAGCACATTTTGGGTAGTCTCAAATAGAGAATAAGAGTGGTACTAGACATTCCTTTTGGAGAGCATGGTGGCAAAGTAGCTCTCAAACAGTTTTTCACAAAGTGTAGTAAAAGATATACAACAAAAATTTTCAGCAAAATTGCATTTAAAGTATAAAGTTATTGGACATCAGGTGAAAACAACAAATACTCATTTTTTTGTAACAAATTACTTTCATTGTTTTTCTCTGTGGATAATGTATAAGGTATCGTCAGAGATGAAATGACTCTCTCGTAGCAAAGGTATTTCAGTCCCACCGTAATGGAACAAAATGAGAGATTGAAGAACTACTTGCAGATCAACAAGGAGGTAAGGGGCCCCTCGAGAGCAACCTCGGGGGTTTGCAAGGAATGTCTGCCCCTGCATAGAGCTGGACCTTTAGAGGTCCTGACACCAAGTGTGGCCAGACCACGTGCCTAGTGACTGGTCATCAGGACAGAGGTCCATCACAGGAGTCTGTGGTCAATTTTTTAAAAATTCAAATAAGAACCTCACATTGATTAGGGTAATGAGTTCAACATTGATTGAACAATATACGGTACATCCCTTTAAGCCCCGAAACAGAAAGGTGATCTCAAAAATAGTGATCCCAAGGAAATCCCTGGCACAAATCAATTGCTGAGTCTCCAGGGGCTTTGAAACACCAATTCAGCAACACTTGGAATCCCAAGTTCTGAAAAGTGACAGCAGGGCACTTAATAGTGCGTCTATGGAATCTGTATCTCCCATATATACATATTATTCCTTCCCTCTCCCCGTTGCCGTTAAATGTCTGCAATTCCCAGTGAGCATCTGTTTCACGTGCACAATAATAAGTCTCAGGACAGACGGTCTGAATCGCAGGCATCAATCTGCAATCAGTGGCTTCGCACTTGGGCAGCTCTAGACAGCAGCTTCAGCCTCCGTCACAGCAGGACTCATCCATGTGTTCCAGGGCAAGAAGTAGCAAATATGGTCGTTTTAGGCAGTCCAGGCTGCTGTGACAAAGTACTGTAAACTGGGTGCCTTGTAAACAACAGAAGTTTACTTCTGACAGTTCTTGAGGCTGTAAATCTGAGTGAGATCAAGGTACCAGCACGGCTCAGTTCTAGTGAGGGTACTTTTCTGGGATTCAGGCCGCAGACTTCTGGCTATATTCTCAAATAATGGAAAGAGGGTAAGTGAGCTCTCTGGGATCCCTTTTAAGGGGGCAAAAGTCCCACTCATGAGGGCTCCAAAGGCCTCACCTCCTAATTCTATCACATTGGGGATAGCATGAATGGGGGACCACACAAACCTTCAGTCCACAGCAATAGTCTGCAAACAGGATTTGTTATGGTGGTTTCAATTGTTACAACTTTATATCAATATATTTGAAATGTTTATGGAATCCAATATTGCCTAATTTATTTATTCTATTATACTTTATTTAATGTTGGCTAATGATTCTCCTAAGCATTATCAATAATATTGCCAGGTAGAGGACTTCCGCCAAGATAGAGGCGTAGGTGGAAACACTTTGCTTCCTCGCACAACCAAATCTAAGAACAACAAAGTTTTAATGACAAACACAACCAAACCACAGAAAATCGAACAATACGGAGTCGGAAACCATCGAACAGCTCAGCTAAACCAGTGAGAGGGGCGAAGCCAGCGGCAGAGCAGGTCCAGCAAAAAAGATCCCCGACCCGGGCGGCTCGCAGGCAGCCAAACCCGAGGATCCCAGGTGTGGGGTAGCTACAGGTGGACCCAGGGAAGGCGCTGTCTGCGGTGGCGCATTTGCACGCAGATAAACCAGTGAAGATATGAGCATTGAGACAGACCATGCAGGCCCTGGCTCAGGGCAGTGGGCTCGCACATTTGTGCTCAGACAAACAGGTAGGGGCAAGTGGCGAGGTGGACCAGGTGAGCGGAGAGGACTGCCATTGCTCCCTCTCTGACCCTGCCCCCACCTACAGCATCAGGAACCAGCCACCTGGGTAGCTCCACCCTGGTGAACACCTGAGGCTCCGCTCCTCATATGTAACAGGCACGAACAAATAAATATGGATCAAGAATAACTCAGAGCCCCAGAGCCGATAAATCTAAGTGATGAAGAAATAGCCAAACTTTCAAATGCACAGTTCAAAACACTGGTGATCAGGATGCTCACAGAACTGGCTGATTTTAGTCACAAATTAGATGAACATATGAAGGCTAAACTAATTGAAATGAATGGAAATGCACAGGAAACCATAAGTAATGGAAAGGAAACTGGGACTCAAATCAAGGGAGCAGACCAGAAGGAAGGAAAAAATGACCAAACAGAAAAATATGAAGAAACAAGAATTCAAAAAAATGAGGAGAGGCTTAGGAACCTCCAGGACATCTTTAAACGCTCCAACATCCGAATTATAGGGGTACCAGAAGGGGAAGAGGAACAGTCACAAGTGGAAACCTTTTATGAACAAATAATAAAAGAGAACTTCCCCAT